GGGTGGGTGGGTAGGGGAATGGACGGACGGATGGATGGATGGGTGTGTAGGGGGATGGACGGACGGATGGATGGATGGGTGTGTAGGGGGATGGACGGACGGATGGATGGATGGGTGTGTAGGAGGATGGACGGACAGACAGATGGATGGGTGTGTAGGGGAATGGAGGGACGGATGGATGGATGGGTGTGTAGGGGAATGGACGGACGGATGGGTGTGTAGGAGGATGGACGGACGGACAGATGGATGGTGTGTAGGGGGATGGACGGATGGATGGGTGTGTAGGGAAATGGACGGACGGATGGATGGATGGGTGTGTAGGGAAATGGATGGACGGATGGGTGTGTAGGGGGACGGACGGATGGACGGATGGGTGTGTAGGGGAATGGATGGGTGTGTAGGGGAATGGACGGACGGATGGATGGATGGGTATGTAGGGGGATGGACGGACGGACGGGTGAATGGGTGTGTAGGGGGACGGACGGATGGACGGATGGGTGTGTAGGGGAATGGATGGACGGATGGATGGATGGGTGTGTAGGGGAATGGATGGACGGATGGATGGATGGGTGTGTAGAGGAATGGACGGACGGATGGATGGATGGGTGTGTAGGGGGATGGACGGACGGATGGATGGATGGGTGTGTAGGGGGATGGATGGATGGATGGATGGATGGGTGTGTAGGGGGATGGACGGATGGATGGATGGGTGTGTAGGGGGATGGACGGATGGATGGATGGGTGTGTAGGGGAATGGATGGATGGATGGATGGGTGTGTAGGGGAATGGATGGATGGATGGGTGTGTAGGGGAATGGATGGATGGATGGGTGTGTAGGGGAATGGACGGACGGACGGATGGATGGGTGTGTAGGAGGATGGACGGACAGATGGATGGGTGTGTAGAGGAATGGACGGACGGATGGATGGATGGGTGTGTAGGGGAATGGACGGACGGACGGATGGGTGTGTAGGGGGATGGACGGATGGATGGATGGGTGTGTAGGGGGATGGACGGATGGATGGATGGGTGTGTAGGGGGATGGACGGATGGATGGATGGG